GCCTCCTGGAAGTTGGCCTTGGGCACCATGGCCGCTTCCCCTCCCGAGACGCTCTGCAAGGAAGAAACAATATAAAAGTGGCTGCCAGGTGGCTCCTGACAACTGACACGAACATCAGCGGAATGAATCCGGATCCCGGGCCAGCAAGGGCATCCCACCTACTGCCAGGATGGCCAATCACCGCCCAGGCCCCGGGCCCCAGCCCCCTCAAGACGGGCACCAGATGCAGGGCTCATGGCTGGCTGGCGAGTGCTGCTGCGGCAGTGCAAGCCTCTCCCAATCAGGACTGACTGGGTGTGAGCCCCTGGCAGGCAGGAGTGGCAGGTGGCATTGGACAGCCGGTTTTAACCCAATCCCCGTGGGCCACGCCAAGGGACCCCACCAGTGTGTGAGTTCGTGCACTGGGCCTCTAGTGAATAATAAAATGGCAATAAATACATACCTATCAACAATCACTTAAAATGTAAATAAATTTAATGTTTCAATCAAAAGATACAGGGCAGCTGAATGGATAAGAAAACAATATATGTATATGCTGTCCATAAGAGACCCACTTCAGACTGAAAATAAATTTGGCAAAATAGCAGGATTCAAAATCAATATTCAGAACTCAGTTTCATTTTTATACACTAATAATAAACTCTCAGAAAGGAAAACTAAGATAATAATCTCATTTACAATGGCCTCATACAAACAAACTACCTAGGAATAAATTTAACCAAGGAGCTAAAAGACATACTCAGAATTTTATAAGACTGAAGAAAGAAATTAAAGAAGATATAAATGAAAGTATATACCATGCTCATGGATAGGAAAAATTAACATAATTTAAATGTCCTTGCTACCCAGAACAATCTATAGATAGATTCAATGTAATTTCTATCAAAATATCAATGGCATTTTCCCCAGAACTAGAACAAATAATCAAAAAAATTATGTGGAACTACAAAAGACCCCAACTAGCCACAGCAATCTTGAGAAAGAGGAACAAACTTGGAGGTATCACATTACATACTACCAGTCTATAGTACTCAAAACAGCATAGTATTGGCATAAAGACAGACATATATATATAGATCAATGAACCACAGAGAATGCAGAACCCAGAAATAAACCCATACCTATGTGGTCAATTAATATTTGACAAAGGAGGCTAGAACATGCAAATGAGTTAAGACAGTCAATAAGTGGCTTTGGGAAAATTGGACAGATACATAAAAAATAAAATGAAACTAGACCATCTTCTTACCCCATATGCAAGAATAAACTCAAAATGGATTAAAGTCTTAAGCCTGGCTACCATAAAAGTTTTAGAAGAACTACCATAAAGGGAACTATCAGAAAGGGAAACTAACCAATGGACATAAGACACTGCAGGGTAGGGGAGGCCAGGGGATTGTCATGGGCGGGGGAAAAAAAAGGACACATATGTAATACCCTTTGTAATACTTTAGGCAATAAAAAAAAGAAAAAGAAAGAAAGGGAAACTAAGGAAGTAGAATCTCTGATATTTCTCTTAGCAATGTATTTTTCTGATATGTCTCCTTGGGCAAGAGAAGCAAAAGAAAAAATAAACAAATGGTACTACATCAAACCAAAAAGTTTTCGCACAGCAAAGGAAACCATGAACAAAACAAAAAGACAACTGCTCTGACTGTTTTGGCTCAGTGGATAGAGCATCAGCTTGCAGACTGAAGAGTCCCAGGTTCGACTGCAGTCAAGGCCATGTACCTTGGTTGTGGGCACATCCCCAGTGAGGGGTGTGCAGGAGGCAGCTGATCGATGTTTCTCTCTCATCATCAATGTTTCTAACTCTCTATCCCTCTCCCTTCCTCTCTGTAAAAAACCAATAAAATATATTTAAAAACAAACAAAAACACAAAAAGACAACCTACTTAATGGGAAAAGATATTTTCCAGTGATACATCAGGTAAGGGGTTAATATACCAAAATTTATAAAGAATTCATACAACTCAACACTGAAAAAGAAAACCTGATTAAAAAATGGGCAGAGGATGCCCTGACTTGGTTGTTCAGTTGGTTGGAGTGTTATCCCAGACTCCATAGGGTTGCAGGTTTGATCCCTCATCTGGTCTTGTATGGGTGGCAACCAATTGATGATTCTCTCTCATATTGATGCTTCCCTTTTTTTCTCTCCTCCTCTCTCTCTAAAATCAATAAAAACATATCCTCAGGTGAGGATAAAAAAATAAATAATGGCCCGGGACCTGAATAGACACTTCTAAAAAGAGGACATGCAGATGCCCAATAGACATATGAAAAGATGCTCAATGTCACTCATCAGAGAAATGCAAATTAAAACCAAAAAGGCTCTCATCAGTAAATCAACAAACAAGAGTTGGTGAGGATGTGGAGAAAAGGGAACCCTCATGCACTGTTGGTGGGAATGAAGATTGGTGTAACCACTATGGAAAACAGTATGAAGTTACCTCAAAAAATTAAAAATGAATCTGCTCTGTGACCTAACAATTCCACTTCTGGGCATATATCCAAAAGAAAAACAACCAAAAACCCAAAACACTAATTTAAGAGAATATAAACACCACTGTGTTCATTGCAGCATTATTTACAATAGCCAAGATATGGAAGCAACCCAGCATCCATCAAAGGACAAGTGGCTAAAGAAGAGGTGATATATATATGTATAATGGAATATGACTCGGCCATAAAGAAAAAAAAGGAATCTCACCATTTGGACCTAGAGGGTATTATGCTAAGTGAAAAAATCAGAAAAAGACAAATACAGAACAGGATAAATAAACAAACAACATAGAAACAGATTCATAGCTACGGAGAACAGATTGCTAGTTGTCAGGGAAGAGGTAGGTTGAAAGGACTGAGTAGAAAGGTAAAGATGTGGGGTTAGCTGTGACCGGCATGGCTAGACAGTGAATGAGGCCTGAGTAGGGGTGACTGGGGATTGAGAAAAAGAGAGAGACAGACACAGAGACAGTGAGTAAAGCTGGGACCAGGTGGGACACTGTTCTCAGATGGAGAGACAGTAACTCAGAGCTAGTGCAGTGCAGTTATTATAGACAGCTTGATACCAGGAAGTTTTACTAGAGTTTAAGACAAAGGAAATTATGTGAAATCATGCTTTGAAGATCAGGCTGCATTCTTCATTCTGTGGCTTCTCATAATTGTCAGGCCTGGCTGGACCCAGATAATTGCATCTGCCTCCGCGCCTGAGTGAACCAGATAATGGCACCCACCCCCTGGTGCCTGAGCTAAAGGTCAGGACTGACAACATTCCTGCCTTTGGCGAGGGATGTTTCCAGGACATGGCGCTGCCGTTGCTGCTAGATTCAGCTGACAACCTTTGCTCAGGTGCTCACCCAGGCACTCTCTACAGAAGGGATTAAGAAGTACAAATTGGTAGTTACAGAGCAGTTGTGAGGATGTAAAGTACTGCACAGGGAATATAGGCAATAATCTATATAAAAAAAGCCTAAGCGACCATCCGATCGGTAGCTATGAAGCGAAGTGACCACCAGGGGGTAGACACTCAACACAGGAACTGCCAAGCTGCGGTGACTTGGCAGCTGTGGCTCTCTGGTGATGCACCCGGAACCAGAGAGGAAGCAGCCCGATTCCAGGGGACCCCTTGGGGGATGTCAGAGAGCTGGATTTGGCCTGATCCCCACAGGCCAGGCTGAGGGACCCCACTTTCCAGAGGGGCCCCGCTCACTCCACAGATGCCCTTTGAGCCCCATGTCTCCCCAGGTGCGGCTGGCCGGAGAGGGACTATAGGAGGTTGGCTCCAGGGCATGCCCAGCCCTCGCGCCCAGTCCCGCCCTGCTGGCCACCTTGAATTTAATTTCCTTTCAATGTGCACGTATCTGTGCACTGGGCCTCTCGTATTGTAATAAGTGTGTATGGTGCTGGGTGGGTACAGGAAATGTCAGGAGGGGCGTCTTGCAAATATGACTGTCTAACCACACTATGCTGTACCCCTGAAACTAATACAAAATAACATTGAATGGAAACTGTCATTGAAAAACAAAATTTAAAAAGACTACATTGATTTCAACCTTCTAATCAAAAGAAAAAGAATTATGAGGGCAAAAAGGGGGGAAGAGAGGTAAGCTGCGATCTGAGTCAAAGCCAGCTGGATAGAGAAGGAGAAGGAGGGAGGGAAGGGCATCCCCGTGGGAAGAGCAACAGGAAGTCAGAGACACGAGCAGCAGCATGGAGTGTGGAGGGAGAGGCTGTCCCGGTTCTGGAGCGTAGATTGTGGGCAGGGCAGCAGAGGAGGCTGGATGATGAATAAAGACCAGTCCGGGGAAGACCTTGACCATACCATTGTGAGGGAGTTTGGACTTTTATCCAGTGGAGGGAAGCAGCGGGTTCCAGGAGACAGTGTTGAAGTATTGGGTGTTGAGATTTACCTCTGGTGTCCAAGAATATGGCCAAGAATATGTTTAGCAGAAAATTAAATCAAGACACGATTTTTAGAATATAAACCCTCCTACTTTAAGACAAACTTGAAATCAGAGCATTATCATGCTTCTAGATCTTCTAGATCAGGGGTCCTCAAACTTTTTAAACTTTTTCACTGTCCCTCAGACCGTTGGAGGGCCGGACTATAGTTTAAAAAAAAACTATGAACAAATTTCTATGCACACTGCACATATCTTATTTTGAAGTAAAAAAAACAAAACGGGAACAAATACAATATTTGTATTTGCATGTGGCCTGCAGGCCGTAGTTTGAGGACCCCTGTCCTAGATGGACACTTTGTCACTTGGTAGCACCAGAGAGAAGGAAAGAAAAAGATGAAAAGGAGTCTTTTGGCTTCTTTGCCTAGAAATACATCTCTCTCTAGCAAAGGGTTTGTTGGAAACAAACAAAATAAAAAGGCAGAAACTGCTGGCTGTAAGTAATCCCTCCCAGAAAAGGCGAGGTCAGCAGGCCCCCTGCCCCGTGCCCACATGGAGGCTGAGTCCATCAGATTGATTCTCCTTTGGTTTCCTTTGCAGGTGAAGCCTTATTGGAAAGTAACACCACAATTGACCATATCTATTGTTCCCCATCCCTGCGCTGTGTTCAGACTGCACACAACATCTTGAAAGGTAAGACTTGGTAAAGGTCAACCAGTCCATCCCTCTGTCTCCAGGCAGATTCCTAGACTCATGGGATATTAACCAGGTCAAAGCTTTAAATTTTTAGCGGTGATTCTTTTGGAAGATGTCTGTATAAAAGTCCCCAAACCATATGCTGCCAGCATAAAGTGTGATGAAAGGATGTACACAAGTAATTTTTTTGAAAATGTTTTTCTTGGGTGAACGGCAGGCGTGTAAAGTATTGTCATCTGGCAATTGCTTAGAGGCTGCAGCGCCCTGAACAGGCCACTCCCCCACGGAGCTATTCCTCCTCTCCCAGGAGCAGTGCTCCTGCTGCCTGCAAACCTGTCATCTGGTTTCTTCACTGGCATGTAAAAGCACCATTGCTATACAGGCGCTCAGTGTTCACCCTGAAATCCTAGGAGCTTGAGTTCCCGGGATTGCCATTCTCATTTCACTGGAAAGAAAACTAGAAGAAACGACATGGGGCTGTTTACTTACACCAAACAAAGGAACGAGCCAGAAATAGCTGCACCTACAAGTAATTTACACTGTATTAGACTCCTACTCATTAGTCTTAAGTAAACCAAACTTGGCTTAAGGCAATATAAAGAGAGTTAATAGGGGCCAATTCCCACTCTGAGGGTAATTACACAGCAATAAAACACGAACTTGTGTGCTGACATTGTAAATATTCAACATTGGATACTCTGATAGAGAAAGTGAATTTACATGATATTCAAATAAGTGAAAGCTACTGTAGGCTAGTGGATGCTAAGAGAATCTCTGAAGTCTCTTCATAAGACAGTCTGGGCACTTACTTATGAAAAGGAATCGTAGCAGTCACAGAACTATGTAAGTTATGGGGATAATGACTTGTGTTTTTTTTCTAAACCACATGCCACTTCAAACTAGCGTACGTCCATTCTGGTGGTGTGGCCCAGTATTCAACTCATACATTTGTAACTCCAAAAATTAAACACCTGGTCCAAACCCACATGCGCGCACTTTATTTTGCTCTATGATAGTATCTGGTTGAAAAGAGAATGGAAGGTTGACCAGAATTTTTTGTAACAATTTGTCCTCCCTTTGCTTTTTCTCTGAGAACATAGGGGCGTTTCCTTCACCTTCGTTTTATTTTCCCTCAAGGTTTACAACAAGAAAATCACTTGAAGATCCGTGTGGAGCCTGGCTTATTTGAGTGGACAAAATGGGTCGCTGGGAACACATTACCTGCCTGGATACCTCCGTCAGAGCTGGCGGCAGCCAACCTGAGTGTTGATACAACCTACAGGTAACCCTGACGCTGCTGCTTCCTGAGCCCAACGTGCAAGTACTTTCTACAGCAGCCTGCTCCTTAGGGAGATGAAGGACAGGACAGAGCCCACGGGCAGTTATCCACATTGCTGGCGGCCAGGCCGTGATATCAAACACCCAAACTGGAGGAAGCCAGAGCCCTCCTGTATTCAGCTTCCTGTAGATTATATCCCCCCACGCACAGTGGATTTTCCTGACTGTATTCTACTCTTTCAGGAAATAATAAAGCCACTTTGTGTCCCAGGGCCAGGCACCAGCCAATGAGGAGACAAGCTTCTATCTCCCAGAAGCTTGTTGGGAGATAAGGGAAGTGACCATGTCTTAAATTGTCATATTTAATTTTTCAAAACATTTTTTATTGATTTGAGAGAGAGGAAGAGAAACATAGATGTGAGAGAAACATCGATCAGTTGCCTCCCGCAAGTACCCTGACCAGGACCAGAATCCGCCACCTTTTGGTGTGCCAGACAACCACCTGGGCCACACCGGCCAGGGCTCAAAGTGTTTTTAATTCTCTTTATCACTTATTATTGCCATCATCCCAGAATATAGACAAGCCACTTTTATATATAAGAGAATGCAGTGGCTTTGCCATAAGTTGTATGTCTAGTGGACACGTATCAGCATTAATCACAACAACTAGCCTTTATTGATCATTCTCTGCATGGGAGGGACTGTGTAAGCTCCTCTACAGTCTTCTCGTCTTCAGGCCTTGGCTTGTCTCCATTTAACCCAGTGGTTCTCAACCTTCTGGCCCTTTACATACAGCTCCTCATGTGGTGACCCAACCATAAAATTATTTTTATTGCTACTTCATAACTGTAATGTTGCTACTGTTATGAATCGTAATGTAAATATCTGATATGCAGGATGGTCTTAGGCGACCCCTGTGAAAGGGTCATTCGACCGCCAAAGGGGTCGCCACCCACAGGTTGAGAACCGCTGATTTAACCAGACTGTGCTGAGGTTAAAAAGAAGTGTTTGTACATTGATCACAAGTGAATAACCGAGATGTAAACAATTCAGAATTAACCAATAATGATATAGTTAACTCAACTCTCAGAAATTCACTCAGACATTTGCAAAATGTCTTTGAGGAGGGACACATACATAGTCACAACTGTTATGGTGGGAAATTAAGTTCATATTTCTTAGGGCAGAATTTAGAACAAGTGACCAATATAAGCAGAGATTTCTTCCCTGTGATATCCTTTGACCTTGCATTTTAAATATCTACCCAAACCACAAATTAAGCCATATGAGTTTCTGGCTGAGGTAGGATAAAACATCTTTTTTCCCCATGCTCATGTTCCTGCTCTGCAAATAAGATCTCATAGAACCCCATAAATAATTAATGTGCCTACTTCTTGCTTAGAGGAATTCGCATTCCTTAAAAATCAAATCAAATCAATTAGATCCCTTACTAATATCCTTCAAATTTTGTTCTGTCCACACTATGGCCACTGGTTTTTTATTCTTTGAGGAAAACAGCAATAAGCTGTTGTCTCATGCCAACAGTCATCATCTTTCTGGCCCAGAAAGAGGGTGAATTGCTGCCAATGTTGGTAAAACGATTTCCCCGCTCACCACCCAGCGCCTCTGAGGTCCACTTAGGCCACCTCTGTTCTCAGCTTTCCCCTTAAGTGAGTCTTGCAGTTCTTCCCAAGCTGCTTTACAGATATCTCCAGGATCATTCTATCTGCAAGTCTGAATGCATGCAGACACACCCAGGCACACAGACCTCACACCCCATTAGTAATACAAGCCGAATGATGAACGCCAGGGTCTCTATTCCAGATTTTCTCTTCCTCTACAGGAAATGAAAATTCAATCATTTTGTGTTTAAGAGGGGGAAAAGGTTCAGCCTCTAATTTTATAAATCAATTGCGAAAGGCAATAATGTATCACATGCTTCAGCATGTGAGAGTTACCACCTCGGGTTAAATTTTCTCTGAAATTAGTTATGCGAGGGATTGGGCCTTTAGAAGCAAACAGTGGTACAGATGATTGGTACAAGCCGAATGATGAACACTAGGGTCTCTATTCCAGATTTTCTCTTCCTCTACAGAAAATGAAAATTCAATCATTTTGTGTTTAAGAGGGGGAAAATTTTATAAATTTTATAAAATTTTATAAATCAATTGTGAAAGGCAATAATGTATCACATGCTTCAGCATGTGAGAGTTACCACCTCGGGTTAAATTTTCTCTGAAATTAGTTATGCGAGGGATTGGGCCTTTAGAAGCAAGCAGTGGTACAGAATATTGAAGAAACATAGTGATAGGCAAGGACTGACAGGGTGTTATAGGTGAAGGTGCTGTTTGAAGAGTCCTGTCACCTTAGGATGAGGCAGGGCTGGGAGGCAGGTTAAGGGACACTAACCAGGCTGGCGACTGATCTCCAGTCACATCACCTCCAGGCGGCAGACCTCACCTGGGCGCGGGGGCAGAAAGCATCTCCAGTCTTAGGGAGCTGGGCCCAGAGGAGCAAGGCAGAAAAGACATATACAACAGTTGGATGGAGCTTCAGAATAAGGTCTTGACTGGGTGTGTTAGGAAATAGTGGGGGTTGGGGAGAACCATGGATCCAGAGTGTTATAGGGGCGATGACTCAAATTTTGTTGTGGGGCTCAAGGCAGAAGCCTCGCCCAAGCAAGGTGAGGAGGCGAGCGTTTATTGGAGAGAATCATGCTCCAGGGATGGTGCCTGAGCACCCAGAGCTCTGGGTTCCAGGTCTAGTTGGTGGTTTGCGGCCACCTGACACTGATTATATGTGTCCTGCAGGTGTGGCTAGAGCATGGCACATGCTGCTGACAGGGTGGGAAATCTTTGACTCTGTCCCATGCCCATCAGGACTGGTGGCTCAACATGGAGGCCCTTCATAGGTTCGACTTCAAGTCAAGAAATGCCAAAGGCAAGGGCTGGCCAGGAGGAACTGGATCCCAGCAGCCACTGGCTCTTTACTTACAATGTGGTTTCACTCTTTAAATGACTGTCTGGACCGTACAAAGAGACCTTTTCTCCTGGGGGAAGGGAAGTACAAGACCAGGACTGGATGAGCGGTTGGGGTGGTGAGAACAAGTTTGCTCCAGAGCAATGAGGTGCAGCCTAATGAGTGGTCACCATGTCTCTCCCAAGCCCTCAGGGTGTTTTGAGATTCAGAGGCTATTTCCTAGAAGTATGAGGTCAGGTTCTTTAAAATGGAACAACAATGTTTCTCTCTGGACAGTAAACCCAAGTGCACAGAGGGGCAGCCTTGAGGAGGACACCGTCAAAAATTTATATGGTCCAGAGTGGAGGACAAGTTCACAGGCTTTGATCTCCAGCCCCCGTTCAAATCTAAGCCCTGAAGAGTTGCTAATGGCATAAACATAGGCAAGTCATCTGCAGCCTTTTTGAGGCTCAAAAAATAGAACTATAGATGAATATTCCTGATGAACATAGATTTAAAAATTCTGAACAAAATATTAACAAACCAAATTCAACAGCATATTAAAAGGATCCTACATCACCACCAAGTGGGATTTATCCCTGTGGGGCAAGGGTGTTTCAGCACACAAACTCAATTAACACGATACACAGATACCCCTTTAGTTGGGTAAAAGATAAGTGTGATTTTATCATCTCAATAGATTCAGGGGGGGAAATTAGACAAAATACACCATCTTTTCATGATAAAAATGCCCAACAAATTTGGTATAAAAGAAACATAACAGTAAAAAGGCCACATATGACAAGCCCACAGCTAACATCAGACCCAATGGTGAAAGGTTGAAAGCTTTTTTTCCAATATTAAGAACAAGATAAGGATGCCAACTTTTCCCACTGTGATTATAATACTGGAAGTCCTAGCCAGGGAAATCAGGCAAGAAAAAGAAATAAAAGTCATCCCAATTGAAAAGGAAGAAGAAAAGTTGTCTCTGTTAGAAAATGATAGGCTATATTGAAAATCCTAGCGATCCTCATAAAGCTGTCAGAACCAATCAACAAATTCAGGAAAGTTGCAGGATACAAAATCAACTTACAGAAATCAATTTTTTATACACGAACAATGACACATCTGAAATAAAATAAAATAGGCCCATCACAATAGCATCAGCAATATGATACTTAGGAATTAATTTAACCAATGAGGTAAAATATCTGTACACTGGAAACAACAAGACTTTGATGAAAGAAACTGAAGACACAAATATACCCCATGCTCATCAATTGAAAGAGTTAACCTTGTTAAACTCTCCATACCACCCAAAGGCATCTATAGATTAAATGCAATCCCTATCGAAATTCCAATGATGTTTTTCTCCCAAATACTGTATAGAGAGAACCCTAAAGATTTCATCACAAAAAAAATCCTAAAATGCATATGGAATCACAAAAGGAGCATCACACTTCTGATTTCAAAGTATACTGCAAAGTATACTAATAAAAACAGTATCCTACTGGCATAAAAACAGACACATAACCCCATGGGACAGACCTCAAAGCCCAGATAGGGAGAGAGAGGTTTTTATTCATTCTTGCTGGTTGCAAGCCACTCTGCTGATGTAAGGGTCCGGTCCACCCTTTGTTCCTCCTAGCACAGTGATTCTCAACCTTCCTAATGCCTCGACCCTTTAATACAGTTCCTCATGGTGTGGTGACCCCCAACCATGAAATTATTTTCGTTGCTACTTTATAACTGTCATTTTGCTACGGTTATGAATCATAATATAAATATCTGATATGCAGGATATATTTTCATTGTGACAAATTGAACATAATTAAAACATAGTGATTAATCACAAAAACAATAAATAATTATATCTGTGTTTTCTGATGGTCTTAGGCAACCCCTGTGAAAGGGTCATTCGACCCCCAAAGGGGTCGTGACCCACAGGTTGAGAACCACTGGTCTAGGGCCAGTAGGGGGACCATTTTAGGGATATGAGAGATCTGCGTGGTTCAGAAGCACTATGACGGTAAACAGATGTGATCTGAAGAGAAATGCTGTACATTGCCCTGGAGCCAGAGGTCTGTAATGAGCTCGAACATACCTTGTATTGTTTGGATGGATAGTCTGCGCCAGGCAGGGGCGTGCTGTCACTAACAATCTACAGGAATGTGGAAGGTTGGGTATATAATTTATTAGTCATTTGGCTGATATGTGAGAGGGGCCATTTTTCTCAGGAAGGCTAGGTTATTCTAGAGGCAAGGTGTTTTTTGTTTGTTTGTTTTGTGGGTTTTTTTTTTTTTTTCACTCCTGCCCCTTGCTATGCATCTGGAGCTTTCTGCTCTGGTGAGTGTTTACATATGTATCTGGCCTATTATCCTTGATCTGGGGGTCAGAGGGACGATGAGGGCTGGGCACAAACAGGTTGT